AGATAAAAAAGAGGAACACACAAGACACTAAAAATTTTATGTAGAAATTTCAAAAAGAGAAAAAACTAATGGGTCTTGCCTAGATGAAATGATCCATTATATAAATAAAATTATAAAGGTAACTCTTCCTCTAATTTGATAAAGTCATAAAGGTTGGATATAAAAAATGAACTGAAGCTAAGTCTCCAATAACAGAAGAATTATTCTTTGCAGAGTGCATAGGGCGTCCGGAGATCAATAAAAATGAGTCACATCACCTTATTGGTGGGTACCCAGCTCGATACCTACACTCGGTACCCAATGCTTAACCGGACGGTTCTCCCGTCCGATCTCCATACATAATAAAAGCTCTCGATAATAATATTAAAGCTTGTTGTAAGAGTAGTGGAGAGATGAAGGCAATGACTAGATGATATTAATTGGAAGACAACAATCAAATGGCGATGAATAAACTATGATGTTTAGATGACAACAATCAAAGTCATCAAATAACAATAGTTAAAAGATGATAATGGCTGATGACGATTTTCTGCATTGAATGTTAAATAGAGCTCTATAGTTTTTCAAATCTTCATGCTCTTTTTAAGCTAAAGTTCAAGTCCGTTTGATGTAAAGACTGAGTCTATTTATAGTATTTTGGGGTGATATTTTGATAAATCTAGTCAAAATTATTATAAATCAATTAGATGACCAATATTAAATCATTTAATCATAGAACATTTATTTAGCATGTAAGTGTCTTAATAACCTCAAACTTGAGTGATTATGAGCTCGCTAGATTCACCTCTTCAAGCAAGATGTTATGCATATAAGATTGGAGACAATTTAGTTTTTCAAATATTGTATCAAAAATTTTAAGTATGGTTCAAGTGATTAATTTGAGCTCATTTGGACTTGAATCAGATCACTGTTGGCATTGGGTTTGCCTTAGTAAGACATTTATTTTTATTATAGTTTTGTTGATATGAGTTTGAATGGTTCTAAATTTAATTTCAAGTTTTCCATACAAATAATGCATAAAGACTCATGCAGATAAATTGAATTTTATGAAGACGTATAATTTTCTTCTTTATTTTTGAACGTCAAATTTTTGTCATCCAAGAATATTTACTATTATATTTTTTGAAAAATTATATATTAAATTTTTATTATTTCTTATCTAATTTATGATGATTTTATCTTTTTCATAATAAATGAGCTGGCTTATGGGTCTACTAAAATTCATAAAATTAAGTTTTAGCTCGACCTTTAACTTGATTATTTAATCAATCTCAAGCTCAAGCTGTGGGCGACTTGAGTTCAACTCAATTCGTTAACACTCGTAGGAGGAACAAACATAATATTAAATGCTCTTATTTTTAGCATTCACAAATATAAATGAGTGATTCTATGTAGCGGCGGAGCAAAATTTTATTCGGGGGAAGCGGGCTAAATTAAAACTTAGAATACATTAAAATAGTTTCGTTTGTCATTTCATTACTCATCCAAGAGGTGAATGCAAATAACATGGCCCTTAGAGCTTATAAGACATAAATATCTGCCACGAGCTGTCTTTATTTATGGGCAAGAGAGGAGCGAAAGAAAAAACGAAAGCCGTACTTGAGGTCGTGAGTCATGAGAGAGAAGCAAAGGGGAAAACAGACCATTGTTGCTTTTCATGTATCCAAAAAAGATGATGGCGGCTTCTTTGTATTAATAAATAATTTTAAAAGAACTACAAAAATTAGAGTAGGTTTCATCGTTAGTGAACTTGTTGCTCTGTTAAGCCACTAAAACAATCAACTTTAAGCCCCTTTAAGTAGGGGTGTCAATTTTTTACACGACCTGAACTCGACCCGGAAAAATCCGGGTTCGGGTCAACCCGAACCTGAAACGTGTCGGGTTCGGGTTGAACAAATCAACCCGTTTTAAAAATCGGGTCGGGTTCGGGTTGACCCAGCAACCCGAAATTGACCCAAAAAATAACTGAAAGTGACATGAAAACTCATATTTGACCCGAAAACCCGAGATTGACCCGTTTTTTTACCCGATTTTGACCCGAAAATCGAATATTGACCCGATTTTGACCCGAAAATTAGCAATTTTAGGTCAACTTCGGGTCATTCGTGTCGGGTCGGGTTCGAGTATGAAAACCTGACCCGTTTTTAAAAACGGATCAGGTTCGGGTTGACCCAAATAGTGCCGGGTCCGACCCGAACCCGACCCGCTGACCCGAATTGACACCCCTACCTTTAAGCTTCCAGTTTTAGATTTAGCCACTAAATAATTTCTCATGTTGACCAAAATCTCTTTTCATCATTCCATCCACAATGGAAAGTCATTCCTCCCTCTCTCTTTTAATATTCTACCCCGTTAGTCTTTCTCTCTATACGGCTGAAGCATTGCATGGTCCGAGTAGAAGTTAGATTGAAAACTTGAAATAAAAAAAGCCTGTAATGACAAGGGGTTGTACGATGCTTAAGTTATATGTGGGCTTATGCCATTGGTTAAATTATTTTGTTTTTAGTTCTTTGCAAGAATGGCCATTTTTAGCTTCATCGTTGAGGAGGGCCTCTTAGTGCGCATCTTCTTAGTTGATGCTCATTGTATGCTTTTTTATTTTATTTTAATGCATTTTCTTTTTGGTTAAAAAAAAAAAAAACACTTCTTAGCCCAAAAAAGCTCGACAATTCCATAGCTCCCACTTGCCACTTGTGTTGTAGAGGATGATGATTAATCAATCATATATGCTTAAACTTGACCTTATGCCTTAATGATATGATAGATCTTAAGTTTCATTAAATACGCAAAAATGAGCTTGAACTTGAACACTAAACATAGGCTTCGTTTGGGATAGCTTTTGTCCATTGCTTTTTTATTGCTTTCATAAATTTTTTGTGCTAGAAAGTTACTGTAGAAAGTAGAAAGAAAGCCATCCCAAACAGAGCCTTAATAAGAGATTGCTGTTGCAGTTGAGTATGGGAGCCGATGATTAATATTATTGCTCTCCAATGTCTATATATGATATACAGTTGAACGTTACTCTACTTCTTATATACTTATTACTTTGTTCCTCACAAATACGTTGAATTCATTTTCTTCGCCATCATATTCCTAATGTTATATTGAATTCATTTACAGATCTAACACTCAAATCTTATATATTTACTTATGCATAATATAATCTCTAAATCATATAAATATTAATTTGCCAATGCTCAAAGGCTTCTAATGAGAGTGGAGATTCATATTTTGCACTTCCACTTCATACAAATAAAACTATACAATAAGAAAATTCTTTATAAAGGCTGAAAAGAACAAAGGGCTCTAACTTTTGAAAGACAGAGAAACATTCAACACTTTGTTGGTCATGCAAAAGTAAGCTACTAAAACTTTCTTTTTAAAGTGATTATTTCAGCTTTGTTACAAAAATATGGATTGGTGCACAGAGTGGCTTATGCTTTTAGAGACAATGCAACACATCTTAAATTATATCAAAGAGATGGTGTTAGCTAATTTAGTTGGTAATTTTGTTTAAATTATTAATAAAATATGTTCGGGTCGAAAAGTGAACCTGATTTTGGACTGAAAATGACCCGTTTAATATTTTTTCTTAAATTATTTTACTTCTTAGTATGTTTTTTTTAATTAATTAATCTAAAATCAATAGTTGACACGGTATAATTTTTTTAATCAGAATGAATTATTAAGTCAGGTTCAGGTCATTCAGATTGCCAATGTGCAGGGTTTAGGTTCACCTTTTGACATGTTTATTTAACCGGACAGTTGGGGTGTCAATTTTTGGTCATGGGTCGGTTTCAGGTTGAACCCATTGACCTGACACTATTCGGGTCAGCCCAAATCCTACCCATTTTTATAAACGGGTAGATTTTTTGGACCAAACACGGCTCTCTTTCAAGTCTGGGTCAACCTGACATGACCCGAATGACCTGGGGTCGACAAAAAATTGCTAGTTTTAGGTCAAAAAACTGGTCAATCTCTGATTTTGAGGTAAAAAAACAGGTCAATATCCGATTTCGGATAAAAAATGGGTTAAAAATGAGTTAATCTTGGGTTTTCAGGTCAAGAACGAGTTTTCGAGTAAAAAAACTGGTCAATTTTGGGTTTCTAGGTCAACCCGAGCTTGATCCAGTTTTTGAAACGATCGATTTGTTGAACCCAAACCCGACCCATTTTGGTTCCGAGTTGACTTTAACCCGAAAATTTTGGGCCGGGTTGGTGTCGGGTTTTTGGGTCGTGTCAAATATTGACACCCCTACCGACCAAGTTTAAGATGATTAGATTCGGAATGGACTTGAACTCCACATGCTAACACAGTTTTACACCCCTAATATCAATAAAACTAAGCTCATAAATTTTGTATAAGTTAAAAAAATAATAATAAAAAAATTGTATAAGTTTAATTATCAAGTCCAGGTAATCACCGTCATTAGTGTCATAGCTATCCTATTTTCTTAGTTTCGATCACTTAAGAATTTCTTCTGAAGTAAGATATAATTTGCACTTTTATTCTCTATATTTTATTTATTTACTTTTGTAAATTTGCATTTTTCATTATTACCCCCTTTTTACAAATTGGTCCTGCCACATACAATTCGTTCCGTTAGGCGGTCCAGCCCGCGCTTATTTTCGCTAGGTTCAGCTCTGAGCGCGAACTAAAATTTCTTAGAATCGGCCTGAACCGGTCCGAAGCTGTCGAGCCCGGTCTACAAATATGAAAACCGGTTCAACCGGAGCCCAACCCGTAAGCCCAGTCAGTCCGTCCCCGTCACACACATCTCCCTTCCAGCATTTCATTAGAAAAACATCTTCTCATAATCGCACAGCTGAATATTTCACCCACCGCGCGTCTCTTAATCGACCGCTCCTCTTATCGAGCCACGTAGCCGAGTCAAAAACAGTTGTTCAAAATAGTGGTTTTTTAAGCAATTCTTTTCGTAATTAAGATGTTAATGCAGGCATCATTGGCGAATAAATACAAACCCATAATACTCCGTAAAAGCCTCTCGGCCCGTATTCTTCCGAAAATCTGGACGACCTCATCGTCCCTCGCTCAACCCTAATCATTTGATTAGTCTATCGCGAGAGGAGCAGAGAAGAAAGGGGAGGAGGGCGGCGCGAATCCTCTTCCATTCACTGCGTTTCCCGCTGCGACGAATTATTGTATTCTCACATCTATCGGTTAGTCGATTCTGCAGATCGATCCGGATCGAAGAAGATTCGGGATGGATCAGCAGGTTGCTATTGCGCTCGGCGCGGATCCCGCGGCGTTTGAGGCGTTGATCTCTCAGTTGATGTCGTCGGGGAACGAGCTGCGGTCGCAGGCGGAGGTTATTTTTAACCTATGTCGCGAGCGCCACCCGGACGCCCTTGGTCTGAAGCTTGCACAAGTCCTGCACTCGTCGCAGTCGCTGGAGATCCGCGCCATGGCGGCCGTGCTCCTCCGTAAGCAGGTCACCTCGTCGTCTGGTGGCGAGTCGGAAGAGTCATCGTCTTACATCTGGTCACGGCTGACCCCCGCCACCCAATCATCTATTAAATCTCTCCTTCTGTCTGCTGTTCAGAGAGAGGAGACGAAGAGCATCGCTAAGAAGCTTTGCGATACCGTCTCTGAGCTTGCTTCCAATCTTCTTCCTGACGATGCGTGGCCGGAGCTGCTTCCTTTCATGTTTCAGGCCGTGACCTCCGACTCTCCGCGGCTTCAGGAATCCGCCTTGCTTATCTTCTCGCAGCTTGCCCAGTATATCGGCGACATACTCCTCCCCCACCTTGGTACTCTTCATTCGGTTTTTCTCAACTCATTGTCCCATCCTATGTCGCCAGATGTACGCATCGCTGCGCTTGGGGCATCGATCAATTTTGTCCAGTGCCTTGAATCTACTTCTGAACGCGAGCAGTTCCAGGACCTCCTTCCTGCCATGATGCTAACTCTTACAGAGGCACTTAATACAGGAAACGAGGCTACCGCCCAGGAAGCTCTTGAGCTTCTCATTGAGCTTGCAGGCACAGAACCCCGGTTTCTCAGGCGCCAGCTGGCAGATGTTGTTGGTTCTATGCTCCAGATCGCTGAAGCTGACCGCCTGGAGGAAGGGACTAGGCATCTTGCTGTGGAGTTTGTGATTACTCTTGCGGAAGCGCGTGAGCGAGCCCCGGGGATGATGAGACGACTGCCCCAATTCATTGGGAGCCTCTTTGCCGTGCTGATGAAGATGTTGCTTGATATTGAGGATGAGCCTGCTTGGCATGGGGCTGAAACTGAGGATGAGGATGCTGGAGAGACGAGTAACTACAGTGTGGGGCAAGAGTGTCTTGATCGACTGTCTATTGCCCTAGGAGGGAACACCATTGTTCCAGTTGCCTCAGAATTGCTTCCGCAGTATTTAGCAGCCCCAGAATGGCAGAAACGTCATGCGGCTCTAATTACTCTTGCACAAATTGCGGAAGGGTGTGCAAAGGTATCAAAATTGAAATAATTTTGTTAATCCTGCAAGGTTATTCGAATTGGCTTGTTTTTATGTGACTAATGCTATTGAGTTTAAATGATCTGTCATCCAATGAGCTTATATTTGATTGACAGCCAACGTTTTCCATAATCTTTAAAGCTCATTTTGGTGTTTTTTTTTTTTCAGGTCATGATTAAGAACTTGGAGCAGATTGTTTCTATGGTACTGAACTCATTTAGAGATCCACATCCTCGTGTACGCTGGGCAGCTATAAATGCTATTGGACAGTTGTCCACAGATTTGGGTCCTGATCTTCAAGTCCTTTATCACCAGCAAGTGCTGCCAGCTCTGGCCTCTGCTATGGATGATTTCCAGAATCCTCGCGTGCAGGCAAGTAGTTCCACAATGCTATCATGTATCGTAACACATCATTTATGTCTTCCTAGGAATTGGGGAAAAAGGGTTGATAAAGCTAACCTGATATAGCTTTGGATGAAGCTTTTGCTAATGCAGATACACATTTTTTTTTTTTGTTATTGTTGCTTCAGTTTAATTATTTTTTGTTAGCTTTACCAATCCATTCTTCTTGTTGTTCTTGTTAAGAGTTGCATTGATGCTTTTTATATTTTTGGTTAGATACCTTGATCACAACTTGAACTGTATATCCATGTAACGGCTTTTCTTCTTTAAAATGTTTAAAGCTTTCCTGTTCGAACTATGACTTTTTGAATGGTCCCATCATACATTTCAAGAAACTTTCTTTCTTTCATCACAAGATTTAGAGGATTTACCATCTTTTTTTAATGTATCAATCTAGGAACTTGAATATACCATGAACTCCTTTGATTCTTGCATTGCCTTTTTTTTAATGTCTACACAAGGAATCACCAATTAAAAAGACCATATTGTCGATCCAGACTTTTAGTAGGAGTCATAATATTCAAATATAAGGTCATATAAGAAAAGTTAATTGGTTCTCATTCCTTTTGCATTGAACATTGGATGGAGCATACTTTTTATTGCTCTAGGATCCAGCTTGGCACTCATGACAACTTTTAAACACAAATATCTTTAATGGTTTGATCGAGGTTAGTAATGTTTAGAATGATCTGCAATCAATTTTTTTTCTCAACATTCACCTAGTTTTTGAGAAATACAATATGGTATATTATACCCTTTTATAATTTTGTGGGAAGAGTATCTTTGGCTACACACTGGTTGAGCTAAACTGGTTTGCTTGATTTCAAAAGCAAGATGAATCATCTATGCTTTTATTATGCTATCATGTACAATAAAAAGTTTGATATACCTATTTTAGTTTAGTGTCATGCAAACAATTTTGTATTTTGAAATAGTTGAGCATTTTGTTATTTTCTTATCTTAATCATGATCAAAATAAATTAGTTTTGTAATAATGTTGAGTTGTGCTTGGTGTTTATGGCAAAGATGATTAGTTTGAACTTGGAGGCTCGAATAGTAGATGTAGTGTATTTTATGGGTTTTGCGCTTAAGTTATGATGTAATTAAAATTTGATCCAACATAGTTATGATATATTGATATGGTGTATATTAGATGATGATAAAAAACAGAAAAAACTATCTCATGGTCATGCTTATACCACTTGTTGGAAAATGGAAACAACAAGAAAGTTTACTTGTAGAAAGATGTTGAATCTAACAATGCACTGACTCGAAGTTCTAAAATTGTTTGAGATTTGGATTAGTACTGATAAATGTTTTTTCTCATAGGCATAAAACTGTCTTTTTAGACCAATTACACAAGTTTCCAACAGCAACTACAAGTGTTGCTTAGTTGTTCACAGTAATGAGTATTATTATAAGTTATTTTTTTTTCAACATAGGAGTACCATTTTTTGCTTAATCTATTTGAGATTTGAGGCACTTCTTTTGTTTCTCTCTTACAGAATCACCTTAACGTTTTTTTTTTTTTGCTAGATTCAATTCGTGTGGCTTAAAATTTTATTATTACTATCTTTCTGGTATCATGTACTTATGTTGGAGCCTTTTTTATTCTTTTCATTTTATTGTTTTATAGGCACATGCTGCTTCAGCAGTACTCAATTTCACTGAGAACTGCACTCCTGATACTTTATCACCTTACTTGGATGGAATTGTTAGCAAATTGCTTGTGTTGCTTCAGGTACCATAAAGTTTTATTTCGGTCATTTCATTTTTAATTATTGCTATTTAGGGAAGATGTTGAAGTCTTTTTTGGTTGTTTCATTTAGAATGGGAAGCAGATGGTGCAAGAAGGAGCATTGACAGCTTTAGCGTCAGTTGCTGATTCATCTCAGGTAATAAAAATCATTAGGGGGATTTTTTTTGTGGGGGGTATTATCTTGAACTTCCTTTGACGTTGCATATTTAAGCAGGAGCACTTCCAAAAATATTATGATGCTGTCATGCCATATCTTAAAGCTATTTTGATGAATGCCACTGACAAGTCAAATAGAATGTTGCGTGCCAAATCCATGGAGTGTATAAGCCTCGTTGGAATGGCTGTGGGCAAGGATAAATTTAGGGATGATGCTAAGCAGGTAATGACAAAATTTTATTTTAGCTTGTAAGGATTGAAGGGTTTTCATACTGAAATGTTTTTCTTATTATGCCTAGGTGCACATGTTAAACTCCACAATTTGCTTGGTCTCTTTATGCTTATTTTTTTTGCAGGTAATGGAAGTGCTGATGTCATTGCAAGGTTCACAATTGGAAAATGACGATCCTATAACTAGCTACATGCTTCAAGTATGTATAAAGGAGGGTAGTATACTTTCCAGTTTTTTACACGGACCATCTCATTGTGTTTAACCTGCTAATCTGTTATATAGGCTTGGGCCAGGCTCTGCAAGTGCCTAGGGCAAGATTTTCTTCCATACATGAATGTTGTCATGCCTCCATTGCTTAAATCTGCTCAACTAAAACCAGATGTCACTATAACATCTGCAGACACAGATGAGGAAATAGATGATTCAGATGATGACAGGTACACAAACTGAAGACCATACAAATTAAAGATAACTTTTGATACTAATTAATACTTACGTATTAGCACTTCTTTGCTTGGATGATCAGTTTGCTAGTTCACTGGGACTGCTTTCTGCATTCACTTTTAACCTGGCTTTGTAGCTTGTTTCAATGAACCTGCAATTGCCCTTTACCCCTCATTTATTCTGCATTTTCTTTGGTATCTTACGATCTTTATTGGCAAAGAATTCGGCAATCATGCATGATAATTAGAAAAGTTCTGCTTCTGTGATACATATATGCCTCAAAGATGCTTATGCTCCAGGCTTTCATGGTTCTCAGTGAGAATTTATTTAAATGCAGCATAGAGACGATCACTCTTGGGGACAAAAGAATCGGGATCCGAACTAGCGTCTTGGAGGAAAAAGCTACAGCTTGTAACATGCTGTGTTGTTATGCTGATGAGCTGAAGGAGGGTTTCTTTCCTTGGATTGATCAGGTCGATACTGAATAAAAATGAAACTGTGTATTTACTTAGTTTAGGGCCTTTACATCAAATAAAAATGTTGAGTGCAACCAAATTGATTGCAGGTTGCTCCCACTTTGGTGCCTCTTCTCAAATTTTATTTTCATGAAGAAGTTCGGAAGGCTTCTGTTTCAGGTATTAATTTTATTCATTTTGCATTCTTTTAATGATTTTGCAAATATAATTACTTTGGTTATCTTTTTATGCAGCTATGCCAGAGCTTCTGAGATCAGCAAAATTAGCAGTGGAGAAGGGGTTGGCTTCTGGTCGAGATGAGTCCTATGTCAAGCAGCTATCGGATTACATTATTCCAGCTTTAGTAGAAGCTCTTCACAAGGTTATCCTGGTTCTTCTCCCATATTTTTGAGTTACGTTTACTTGTATCTATGGTAATTTGGTGTTGATAATTTTCTTTTCTTTTTGACTTTTTTTTTCTAGGAACCTGAGGTTGAAATATGTGCATCTATGCTGGATTCGTTGAATGAATGTGCAGAGGTATGCTCATCATTATTATGTTGCATTGTTTACTGTATGTGCACAGAAGCTATTTTGAATCAACCATTCTGCCATATTTTGTGCATTTATCTTGTCAATGTGTGATTGTCTCTAGTCTGTTTCAAGATCATAGTCTAATGTTTGTAATATTAGTTATGAAATTTCCACCTAAAATCTATTTTTTGTGAATGATATGTGCAATCTTTGGCTTTTAGGCTGCTTCTTTGTTCCAAACCATGTCAACATTTTGTGCCTTTATCTTATCTGCTCTTCTAGCCTGTCTTTCATATTTGCTAAAATATGCCACATGATGGATGGCAAAAATGAAATTTATAATCCCCTTTGAAAGCCATGCCTACGTTTTGGTGCATCTTGCAAATGGGTGGTTGGCATTGGCACTTGATTTTGTACAATGGTATGCCATTCCTTAATTTGCTGAACTATGACTTGGCAAAACATTCCTTAAATTAGCCATGCCATTGTAATATATTTTTTGGTATTGCATTGCTTCCACACCTCTTTTTTTAAAAAATCTGCCACATTTCAATTATTGTTGCTGCAGAAACACAACAAAATGCAAAACCTTTTGCTTGGTCCACTAGTGTGGCTATTGACGAGGAAATTAAAAAGCAGTGGGTTGATCCCTTATAGAGTATTGATGATTCTTATAACATATTACACCAAATCAACATGCCAACATTCTTGTATCAAAGAAAGTCTAAATGCATATGACCTGTTTTGCTAGAAATGCTATCCTTGAACCTTAAATTCTTGGCTCAAGTGAATCCTTGAATACATACTCCACAGATGTGCACAAATGCACCTGAGTTTATCATTTTGTTGCGTGTTGAAAACATTATTTGATTGTCAATGAAATTTTGCTTGATGTGTCGTTTCGGTGATGATGATGGTTGGGATGATTGATTTTTGTTAGCGACTATTATAATATTATTCTAATTTTATTTTTCCATGATATAGAATTACTTCACAATTGTGGAGTGATTGTTTAAGGTAGACATCTATCTTATGGGCTATTGATTGCCCACTGAGGTGAAGAATGAGTTATAAGAGCTACAAATAAACTGAACTGAGTTGAGCAAGACCTAGTGCTAGCTTGAGTTTCTTTTTCAAAATCTGGAATCAAGCTCGAGCTGATTCAAGTATTTGTATTAGCGTTCAAGCTTAGTTCATTGAAAATTAATGTTATTTGATCTTGGTTTGAGCTTGGATTGTTAGCTAGCTAAGCGAGTCTTATCGAACCTATTAACAATCAATACTATTGATCTTCTTGTTAGTTAACTGGACAAGGTTTTCAAGCCTATTAATGAGATACCTAGTGAGCTTAAAAATATGGCATTAGTTATGAAATACTAAATGAAAAACTTGTTAGTCATTTATATATTAGAAAAAAAGCATGAATTTATACAATAAAAATCACTGCCATCCCAGTTTAATGCTTGATGTTGTTAGTCATCTACATTATCTTTCTGACATTTCCAATATATTCTTTAGTTCTTTATGTTAGATATATGCTCATCTTTTTTGTTATCATTTCAATTAATTATATCTTGCCATTTTTATTTATTGAATACAATTGAATACAAGCTTAACATATTTGTTTCTTTTACTATATATATGAACTTACAATTGTTTTATTTATTGTTTATATGCTACACTCCATTATTTCTAAATTGTTGATGAACAATTCAAAAGATAAGTTTCATTATTTCTTAGGTCGACTATTTTAACTGTAAGAAGTAGAATTGATTCATAGAGAATAACATGAAACCTTTAAAATGTTTATAATTTACATATTTTTTTCCTTAAATCAATATTAATCACTTGCACTTGAGTGGCATTTTCTTTTGGCTAGCAAATAGAAAGTTGCAAAGTGGTGAAAGCATTATTCATCAATATCACAACATATAAGGAGAGGGACACTTTTACATAGGGAGATTGTGATCAATTACATTATGAATGGAGGGCTATGCCCTACTAGAGGTATACCAAGCATCTTTAAGGCCCTATCTATTTGGCTGGTTCAATTGATGTCCTATATTGAGCAATTGATTCATTTAAAATTCTTATGAGTGTGAGCTCATATATCTTCTAACATAAGAGTGCACCTAATTATAGCAGATAGGGGCGCTCATCAATTATAGAAGTTGAGAGATCTTTCTAGCCATTAGCATTTTTCCTTGAAATTATATTGTCATTTACATTTCAACTTGTGTATTTAACCGATACTCGTCACTACTAGATAATGTTGTGATAACCTATTGTTGGCCGTGGATGTTGCTATACACATGCCCGATTAGAGTTAAAGATGTTACACATGTATAAGCTTTGTTGACTCTTACTATTGATCATCCAATCTCTTTTGGAGAAGGTTCATAAAGTTATTTTTTAGTTGATTTTGGAGATTCATATTGATTAGGATATTTTTGTATCATACTTTTTTCACATTTTTTGGTTAATTAGTTAAAAAATAATCAGTTTTGGCACTTGTAATGAAAATTTACCCGTTAACCATGTTATTGCCTTACTAAATTGGTGTACATCTTCGTTTTGTTCTTCCATTATTCAGCTCGCTGGGCAGCTTCTTAGTGAGGGTCAGGTTCGATCAATTGTGGATGAACTCAAGCATGTGATAACTGCAAGTTCCACAAGGAAAAGAGAAAGATCTGAGAGGACCAAAGCAGAGGATTTTGATGCGGACGAGGGGGATCTACTCAAAGAAGAAAATGAGCAGGAAGAGGAAGTTTTCAATCAGGTATGTTAATCTAGTACTACTTAGAATTAAGGTTTCCTAATGCAACAAATATTTTTTTGAGTACATTTTCATGCAAAGTAAAGTTGATGATTCATAGATCAGTGGTTATCAAGCACCTCAAAAACTTTCTTTAAATGAAAACATGCAATAGTAGTCTTCAAGCATTAATTGATAATGAAATGGTTGTTAATATTCAAGAATTTTTAATAATAATTTGGAAACAAACAAAATCAGCAAGCAAATATTTAATTTTCACAAAATTAGATTTTGATGCATCAGTTTTGACCAGTACATAAATTGAAATAACAAATTATGCTGAAGGAATATTAAAGTAAAAGAAAAAAAAGAAGAAAAGCTTCACATTGGTGAAAGTATATTACTTTCCACATAATCAGGCTGTTGCATTTATACGCTTGAAGGATCATGCATCTAACTTGCCACATGATTGCTCACAAGATTTAAATTGGAAAGAGAGGGATAGGCACTTAGATAGTAATGTGAATAGCTATGAATAGGGACATGCATAACAATTAACAGGTGTCCCCGCCCATCCATCAATAAATGAAATTTAGTAGCTAATTGTGGAAAATTCAAGAGGAAGCATCAAATTTGATTAGAGAATCTGAATAATTGAGTAAACATCCCATCCTTAAAGAGCATGTAATCATTCAACTGAAACAAGAAATTGTTATAAATATACTACTAAATAATTAACTAAATTTGCCCAACATTTTTTGTCGAGTATAAACTTGCAGATCTCCTTCATATGCTGTTTAAATTTTGATACAGTTCCATCTTGAATACTTTTCAGACATACAATTTGATATTACTTGTCTAGTGATTTAGATCTTGCCTTTGAGTTTCTTTGCAGGTTGGTGACTGTTTGGGCACCTTGATTAAAACCTTTAAAGCTTCTTTCCTGCCATTTTTTGAGGAGATTTCAATCTATGTAACAGCAATGCTGGTGAGTTGAACACATAATAACTATTTTTTTCCTTTGATTGGTGTTACATGCCTTTGCTTCTTGTATGAGATGTACTGATTCTAACATGGATGCTCTCTGTTTAAATGTTTATTATGTTAGTTCCGTTTCTACATATTGTCATGCATATCAAATTGACTTTCCTTGAAGATGGAAAATCTAACGTGCTAGTAGATTTCTTGTTTATTTTATTACAAATGGTGTACTCTGAAACCTATAAAAGCAAAATTATAACTGAATTTGCTCATTTTATCTTTTTTTTCGTAACCATCTTGTTTAGGGCAAAGATAAAACACCCGAGGAAAGAAGAATTGCCATTTGTATTTTTGATGATGTTGCTGAACAATGTCAAGAAACAGACACATAATAACTATTTTTTTCCTTTGATTGGTGTTACATGCCTTTGCTTCTTGTATGAGATGTACTGATTCTAACATGGATGCTCTCTGTTTAAATGTTTATTATGTTAGTTCCGTTTCTACATATTGTCATGCATATCAAATTGACTTTCCTTGAAGATGGAAAATCTAACGTGCTAGTAGATTTCTTGTTTATTTTATTACAAATGGTGTACTCTGAAACCTATAAAATGAAGACAGTTTTTTCCATATTAGGCTTTTTTCCTTTAAATGGGTTATTTCTTGAGGTATGCTCAGAGAGTTGCTAGCAATTAAATGATCGTAGATTGGTTTTGAGAGTGTTATTTATTTTCTATTTGCAGGTTTTACCTGATTTAAATTTGGCCTCTTAATTTATTGGAATAAGTTCAATGACACTTCTTTGTTAATTTTAGTTTCTTATTAATTGGAATAAGTTCAAGGACACTACCTTGTGCACATTTATCATCGGCATTAGCAAATTGAGCTTCAATAGTATTTTAATGTTTGCAGAAATAATAAAATGCAGCAGAATTTTCTTTGAACTGAAATCAGGCATCCATTTATTGTACTTGTTATCCTTATATTTATTTGTCTGAGGGAAAATTGAGCTGGATTCCTAATTTGGTATGCTTTATCGGGTTCATTTTTTTTTAGAAATTTCACTTCCATCGGGATCAAGACCGTTGTAAATATGCATACATCTACTTATTTTATAATAATACATCACACTTGTGGATGCATTTAGGCATTTGTATACATATTAAGTATCTGTATAACTTTCACTGCATGCTTGTGTATGGCGTATGCAATGTTTAGCAAGTCAAACCTAAATTGATCTTCGGCCATGTTGGCCGGCCAGAATTTTTGACCAGAATTTAAATAGATTTTTTTTTGAATTTTTATTTGGTAGGTCTGGATTATGGTGCCAAATATTGGCCCTTAAAAGAGAGGCATAATGCTAAGTTAAGTTTTGTAGAGATGAGGATGCTTAGGTGGATGAGTGGCTTTACCCTTAGAGATAGGATACAAAATGAGCATATACGTGAAAAGGTTGGAGTAGCTCCAGTGGAAGATAAGATTAGAAAGAGCCGCCTTAGATGGTTTGGTCACATTAAATGGAGGCCTGCCGATGACCTGGTTAGGAAAGTTGAGGTATTAGATTTAACTTATGTTAAGAAATGTAGAGGTAGACCTAAAAATACTTGGTTAGAAAATATTAGAAACGATCTTTCTTTGTTAGATTTAAATGATAGTTTGTCTTTTAACAGGACACAATGGCCAAAAAGGATTCATATAGCCGACCCCACGTAGTGCGACAAATTGAGACAAAGGGTTGATGTTGTTGGATTACTAGAACATTGAAACAAATTGATGTGGTAGCATGGAATGGATTAAACTAGACAATGCCCAACCCTAGTTTAAACTTGTTGTGAATGTTCATGCCATACATTGGTAGATTTCACTGCACACTACCTATTGATGTGAAACATAATGCATGGAAACAAGAATTGCTTGGGAATTTTAATATAAGATTGTTAAAGCCTTGGTAGTTATAGAATTAATGCTTACCTGAATTAAATTCTCGGAATTATCAAGTCGAAATTAAGTAAGGCATGTGGTTACAACTAGATTAATGGGACAATATCAAATTGACAACATATAATTAGATAGTAATGTTATGGAGAGAAACAATAATCCACAATTAACAAATAGAACTTTTCACCTTGGGTCTCTCACTCACTCTCTTGTTGGTGGCACTTTAATGGAGGAAGATTGAGATCAACCGAGCGATGCCACTAGGAGACAAATGGCGCACAAAGTGTAGTCCG